ATAACGCCACTTTGAGTCTCTGCCAGTAGATGGCGAGTACCTTGATCTGTAAATCTGCAAGTGGCAAATTAAAAATTAATGTATATAAGTCAGCGCGTTTTCCAAACAATTGCGGTATCTTTGCTGTGGTGGCTATCAAATCGAATGAAAGTCATGGATTAACTCGTAGTCAGCGTATCCGTTTATAATAACCCTTTTGCTTTTAAAAAAACTTTTTTGTGAAAATGTCGAGCGTTTCTACGCAAGGATCATTATATCCACAAAAAAGGGGCAATCACGTGATGTACGCGAGTAGTCGGTCGCTCACGAGTATATATACTTCTTCTCGATACGTATTACACATCGTCGCGTTTATTGGATGCCACACGTTTGGTGCTCGGTTGGCGCTATATATTATACCACTGCTAAGCACGCCGATGTCCTCGCAGCCTAGAGCTATTGGCTGCCTCGCAGAAAGAGAATATATATACTTGTGCACGTAAATCCGTGACCCGCGACGACCTATAAAAATCCTTTCGGCCGCGCACATACACACACACGACTTCGGTGTCCCTTCGACTCGGTGGTGCAGTAGAAACAGAAGCAGCAGCAGTAGCTACTGCACACACGGCTCGACTCGTCGTTATAATGCATAACGTTCGGCCTACGTTATTACAGGTATATATAAGTTCCATACGTCCTTCGACTTCGTACGGGACGACTACAGCTTAACAGCCATCACGCACGTCATGATTAGGTCTCGTACACATATATACTACATATAAGGCTGAAGGAATGGGCGATGGAAGACGTTGGCGAAATCGTCCTGATAAGACTTTATATATAGATCCGCGCCGCCTACAACCCCGCGCGCAAGTAGCTCATCACGATGGGCGCGCATAAAGGAAAAATAAGACGAAGACGAAGAAGACGAAGAAGAAGCTCGACTACTGTACTATATGCATGTGGCGTATCTGCATGCCGTACACGTGTGCATGCATGTGCTGCGCTGCTGCAGCACGACCGGGGCACGCTATCCATATTGACCCGCGAATGGCCCGTTTCTATACCGCCGCGTCGTGCAAGGCTACTTTGCCTAGTAATATATATAATAATACACGAGAATGTGTTGGGAAGAGAAGGAAGGCGAGCCACTGCTACCGTGAATGTGTATATATATGTAGGCCTTATAGCCTATTAGTCGCCTAGCACCCGCAACGACGACCCGAGCTATAGCTCGGCGAGGATAGGCCCGTAGTTACTTACCCGCTATCGAACAAACTGACCAGAGAGCAGCCCCCGGGTTACATTGCACGGTATATACGTATATTATCTGGTCTCCATCCCCTTGGCTACCAACTTTTGCTTTATCCTTCACCTGTTCGACCTCTGGCGCACGACGAGTGCATGTATAGAACCTATACGTATATATCTACACCCTTTGAGGCCAGGTGGATATCGTTCGGCGTTTAGCCTTTCGTATACGTATGCATATATACCTGCCAAATGTATATAGACTGGACAGTGCCGAGCGATCGACAATTAGCTAATTGCTCGAGAGAGATAGAGACCTTTTTAACCCTGCTTGTATGTGTAATGTGTATAAGCGCTCGGGTGATATTTCATGTCTGAGTGCACCCACACTATCTACCACCACCCCCCTTGTCCACGGGACACACGCACACGTGTTTTTACGCTTCGCCAAGCAAATCCCGGTATTAGTTTTTCGTCTTTATTTTTTTTTTGTATGTGTAAAGGGTGACCGGACGCTCGTATGATAAAAAAAAAGTAAAAAAAAAGAGTAAAACCGGCTCGACGCGAGAGACCAGGGTTGATTGAAGAAGCGGAAAGAATAATTAAATTTTTTTTTCGTTACACTTGCGAGCCGTCCGGAAAACAGAGAAAAAAATAATCGTTCCACACGAGCGCACGATCAAAAGGAAAATCGTACGTGCGGCGTTTCTTCTACCTTTTTAATATCAAAAAAGTTCAAGGCATATATATTATATAAAATGCACGTAAGAGCGATTGCAGCAGCGTCGGCAGGCCGTCTCGCGAACGCCAGGCTTGCAACACCTGACGAAAAAGTTACACTTTTCCCAGATATTATTATCTCGCCGCCAAATCCTTTTTTTGTCGAATATACCCCGCTTCACTCCCTCTCTGTGTTCTCTTTAGGACAGAGAGAGAGAGAGAGAAGCACTCATCACTGCTGCTCTCCTACACCCATCAATCTGATGAAAATCGCCTGTGTGTATGTACCACTGCGCCAAAGGCCTGCATATTATACTATATACCGTACGATGAGAAAAAAAAACCGATGTCTCTCCCCATTATTGTACTCCTTTTCATTTTTTTTTTCTTCTTATACATAAAGCTCCAGTCATCCAATTCCTGACTGAGCGATCCTTTAGGAAAGAAAAAAAAAAGTATACGTATAAGAAGAAGAGATAGAGAGAGATCGAGGAAAAGAGTATCCATGAAAGGGTTTAAAATGAAGAGAGAGAGAGAATCCAAAAGTCCATCTATCCCTTCGATAGCCGCTGGGGAGTTTAAGTATTATATGCTATATATATGTAGCCCAAAGTTTTTGTTACAAGAATAGAAGAGAAGAAATGCTCCCGGTATATATATACGAGTCTCTCTGTCTCTCTGTGTCAGGGGGATCGGGGACATACGATGCATCAGCATCAGCAGCATCAGCAGCATCAGCAGCATCAGCAGCCAGCCAGCCAGCAACGGCGCATAGGGCTAAGCAGGTCAACTAGTTAAGTTCTCTTTCTCTCTACTACTGCTGCTGCTGCTCAGGCCGTGCACAGGTCCTTTCGAGTTCATTTGGCCGCGCGGCACATAAGATAGAGAGAATGGCGCATATGGGCCTTCGCCGCGGCTCCTAGAGCTCGAATCCTTTTTTTACACATCGACGAGGCCCCGCTTAAAAGGTTCTTCTCTGTATATAAACTGCACACGTACACACACAGATAGTTTTCAGAACCCCTCGCGCGACCGAGTGAAAGGTGCTGCTGCTCGGTCCGCTACGAGAGGATATCTGCTGCCTATACACGTATAAAACACAGTGTGCATGGGCCGTATACAGCTGTGGACTTTGAGAAAAAAAAACCCTCGAAGAAGATGGCGAAGAAAAAAAAAGGAGTGTTTTTTTTTCTCTAATACCAATTGCGTGCACTTGGGTACTACGGTTAACCCTTTAGCTAGGGCATTATTACGTAAGGCGCAACAACGTATTACGAGTTACGTGTATGTATGTATGTAATATCTGCGAGTGTATTAGTGCGTGTGCGCGCGATCGAAGGCATTAATAGCGATAAGTCGTCGATTTTCTTCTGCCACCGACGAGAACAAAGCATTTCGCGTCGAGAGACGCTCGCGAGTGAAAGAGCATGAGAGAGATATGCGCTGCTCCCTAATGCACCTAAGACTGCCCTTTCTCTCTTTTGCAACGTTGCTCACCCATACACGTATGGACGCCTCTCCCTCGATGCTCTATACATTCATATATATATGTAGAAAGGCCTATGGGTGAGCGCGAAATATACGTATTGTGCGATGTGCTTTCGTCTGTTATATTTTACATATCGATATGTTGCGAATGCGAGACGATGACTGTATGACTGCGACACGGCAACTATAGACACACGGAGAGGGCCACGTTTCGTCGCGAGGCTCGATGATGTTGAATGAATTTTCCGTTCCTTAATTTTTTTTTTTTTATTTCTTATTCATTCTCTCCATTGCCAATTGCCTATGTAACGGCTGCCTATCGCTCGAATTATAAGGCGCACACGTATATATATGAGTTTTGCAATCGCTCCGAGAGATTCGTTGTTACGATACGACGTTGGAGCTGCACTGGGTTAAAGCTTTTTGCCAAGGCACACACACGTACACCGTATGTGTGTATATCGGCGTCTCGTGTATATAGTCGAGACTCGACGAGAGTGATTTAGATGCCGATGTTGGGGAATTAATTGCTCGGGTTAATTGGCGCTTCGATCTGTTATAGCAGGGTAAAAGAGGGGGAGAGAGAGAGAGAAATAGGGCCCAGCAGCAACGACGGCAGCGGTAGCTGCAGCTCTATTATGTTGTTTCCGATTCGACACCATGATGTATTATATATGAGCAATTCTGTGAAAAAAACCCTTAAGGCTAAAGTCGCGATTGAAATGTTTGTAAAGGACGTTGATAATTGTTTATTTAAGAAATTGACTAGATTCGTGGTAACTATGGTATACACTTAAAAATCTATTTATTGAACATTGATATGCTACAAAGGAAAAATAGTTTTGAAACAATTCAGGTTCGATGGACGTTTATGAGTCATGAAATCAAACTGTGAGAAATGAGAGCTGTTGACTAGCATTATAAAATTGATATCAAACCATTGTGATTCAATATCCTTGAATAGTTTATTGATTTTTTTTCAACTTAAACTTTAATTTTACATAATGTAATAAAATTGAAGAAACTGATCATTTAAAATATAAGTGGAACATTTTAAATTAATATGAATATTGTATATTGAATCTTATACCTTTATTAGGTTTTAATGCGTCGATTTAATGTGAATCCTAAGACGAGACTTCGTTTTATATTTCTTTCCACACATATTACATGCATGTAAAATTTTACTGTGAACCGAATCGATGTGGTTTTTGAGACTACCCTTGTCTGAGTATCTCTTTTGACATATATCACAAGTATGCTTGAGACCACTATGCACTATGTTAATGTGATTTTTGAGATTATATTTTCTTGAGAATGTATTTCCGCAAACATTACATGCATGTACAATTTTATAGTGAACTGAATCGACGTGTTTTTTGAGACTACCCTTGTCTGAGTATCTCTTTTGACATTTATCACATGCATGCGTGATTTTATGATGCACCGACTCGATGTGGGTTTTGAGATGATTTTTTCTTGTAAATATCTTTCCGCATACATCACATACACATGTGACCCTATTGTGCACCGAATTGATGTGGGTTTTAAGTATAGTTTTAAGTGAAAATGACTTTCTGCAAACATCACATTCATGTTTGACACCATTATGTTTTCCATCGACGTGTTTTTTGAGACTAACTTTTTGAGTAAATGATTCGCCGCAAACATCACATTCATGTTTGACACCATTATGTTTTCCATCGACGTGCTTTTTGAGACTAACTTTTTGAGTAAATGATTCGCCGCAAATATCACATGCATGTCTAACGCCATTGTGTGCAGTATCTATGTGTCTTTTAAGATTACCATTCTCTGAGAACTGTTTTCCGCATAAATCACATGCATATGTGACTCTATTGTGTACTGAATCAATGTGTTTTTTGAGAACACTATTTGCGAAGAATTTCTTTCCGCAAACATCACATGCATGTCTGACACTATTATGCACCGAATCGATGTGGGCTTTGAGATTAGCTTTTTGTGAGAATGTCTTTTCGCAAATATCACATGCGTACGTAACACCATTGTGCATGGCATCGATGTGGATTTTGAGACCTCTCTTATTTGAGTATGTCTTTAGGCATATATAACATGCATGCTTAATTTTATGATGTACTGAATCGATGTGGATTTTGAGAGTACTCTTGTTTGAAAATGTCTTCCCACATACATCACAAGTATGCTTGACACCATCATGTACCGTATCTATGTGATATTTGAGTCTAACTTTTTGAGCAAATGATTTTCCGCAAAAATCACATGTGTGGAACACCCCATTATGTATCGAATTGATGTGGGTTTTGAGATAATTCTTGCTTGAGAATGCCTTTTTGCAAATATCACATGCATAAGCAATGCCATTATGTATCGGCTTGATGTGTTTTAGTAGATTGCTTCTATTTGCGAATGTTTTTCCACACATATCACATGCGTGGGTCATACCTTTACGTTTCGTATCGATTTTAAGATTACATTTTTTACCGTCGCACTTATGTTTGAAACCATTATGCATTTCGTTGACGTGTCGTTTAAGACTTCTTATATTTGAAAATTTTTTTACACATATTTCACAGGCGTAAGTTGTATCATTGTGCACCTTACCGATGTGTGATTTGAGGTTATGATCTTTGTTCATTTTTTTCGTATTTCTTCTTTTCTTTTTCTGTTTAGAGTCGAAATTCCAAGTCGATTCATCTGCATCGTCGTCAATGACTTCTTGTTTTACTTTACCCACTATCTCGAATTTTATTGCTTTACGAATTTCATAATCACTACCTTTTATTTTGGAATCATCGTCAATTTTTTCAACTTGTAGTAAATTGATATTTGGCTTGACGTCTTCACATTCAACGATTATTTCCACTTTGTCACCAAATTCACCATCATGATTTTCATCAAATTTTCGAATGAAATGGGTCTGTTAAAAACTCAAATATGAGTTATATATAATTGAAATACAAGTTACACTTACAATCATCAACACTTACCGAATTTTCTTGTAGATGTGGTAAGAGTTGGAAATTCTTAATATCAGGTTTCTCGTCAATCATTTCACTATCGTTTTCAAAAAGTGGCACATCGCTAGGCTCCTTTTTCACTCTGAAATAACCTCAATCAGATCAAGTATACTGTTTTAATATTTCTATGATTCAATTTTCATGAAATGAAAATTACCTGATAGGACAATTGTCACTGGATTCCATATTTTCACTTGAAAATTCATTCGCATCTAAAAACTAACCCACTCAAAAAGACCGGCGAGGAGCGATCTGTCTTACTCGCTTTATTTCAAAGTTCAAACTGTATCGATGCGAAGAACTTTAGGTTATGCGTGACGAGCTTCGCACACCACTGACCGTATAACGTAGCGCTATCCATATCATGGCATTCCAGGCAAAACTTTGCCTGCCGGAAGATGCGCGTAGAGGTCGTGCATGCTACGCGCGACGTAAACAACAGAACGATGTTACAGCTTCGTTATATACTTGACCATTTTTTTATGTAGATTAAATGTAAGTCTCGTAATATGTAATATTTACAAACCGTTCCATAAATTTTCAAAGTTATCGATGTAAATAATGTTTAAACAAATCATCATTTCTCATTGATGTGTTATTATGGAAAAATGAATACTAGTTTAAAACAATGAAAATAAGTCTTATTTACTTATAAAATAAAAAGTCAAATTTTTGGAACCTTATGAACAATTATCCACGTCTATCATGCTCATCAAGAGGCAAATATTTCAATCCAAATTTTTATCACTAATTTAAAGGATTTTTGTTATAGAATTGCTCATATACAATATCTCTGGCAATTGGCAACGCGTGAATTGAATTTCATTGCTTTTTAAGGGGCCACTACGCGGGCGTCGCCGCCGTAGCCCGTAACATACAACGAAAAATCCCGGAAAAAAAACGACGGAGAGAGAGAGAAGAGAAGAGAATGGAGACAGCAAGTAATCTCATCAAGTACATACGCATCGGGGCCGTATTTAACGTTATATACTGCTAAATGTGGAAAAGGGCGTGATATAGATTTCTCGATCTCAACGCGCGCGCGCGCGCGTGTAAGCGATACATACATAGCGTACTTAGGCTGGCCGCTGCTCGCGCGTAAACGCGCACGAATAATGCACGAGAGTAGCGCACGACGTTTTTTTTTTTATTTTATTTTATTTTATTTTATAACAGAAGAATAATATCACAAGAGAGAGAGAGAGAGAGTGAAGCAGAAAAAAGAGGGCCATTGGCGGAAACGCAACGCGCGCTTTTTTATACTCCAGGGCTCATCTTTCAGTTTTTCTAGGTCATCCATTATTACACATTATATCGAAGGCTGCCTACATAAACGAAGGTAGCGTATTAAGGGATGAGATTAGTCAACGTATATATTTTTATACGGATACTAAGTATTTTTCACGTCGTGGGCCCGAGTAAACGGGCTCGCTCGGCCTCGTGGGACACAATGATCGTCATCGTGGGGCTGCACTGGGCTGCTGCTGCCTTTATTTTACCTTTTCTCCTCTTTTCTCTCTTTTTTTTTGTTGCTTCGAACCTTAAGAAAGCAAAAGCTCTATGTGTGTGTGTGTCTATGTGCGTAAATTGCTCGGACCACGAAGCGGCTACTATACCCAAGGAAGACAAAGAAAAAGAGAAGGTACGAATAAGATGCGATTATTGCGCACGGATTGGTTTTTATCACTCGTTATTATTATATATACTCATCGACGCGTATATACCGAAGCGGTGAGTAATGTAATATCGTAAATCTTTCGGTCCTCTCTCTGTCTCTCTCTCTCTCTCTCTCTCTCTCTCTATGTCGCAACGATTAGTCGTAACACGTAGTAGTGCAAAATCGCGACCGACAATGGCACACTGGGATGCGGCGCTGATGCATTACATGCATTATACACACACACACATACACACAATAATATCATCGGAGTCTCTTCCGCAAACTGTATATGTATATACGCCAAGTAAAACTCTATCTCTCGGTGTATTATAAACCTTTTCTCTCTCTCTCTCTCTCTCTCTCGGTAAATAAGCCGCGACTGTACGACTGCTACGACGCTTCGAGAATATATACGTACTACGTATATAATATACACGCGGACTCCTCTTCTGTCGTCGTCGTTTTTTTTCACTCTCTGCGGTAGCTAATAAACGCCTGTCACGATTTCGCGAGCTGTGTGCAGTATATACCACTGCTACTGCAGTTGTCGTCGCCGCTATGTATACCGCCGACGCGCGAGCGAGCGATACTTACGAAACGCGCGCAAAAGCGACGGAGATAACCGCTCGTGTATATAATTTTTACAGAAGAGACGAGCTTCTGGATCCACTGCTGCTGCCGCTGCAGATATAATATGCATGTAACGGACAATTATAAAACTCGCCAAGGCTCTCGGGCGGTCTACGATAGGCGAAGACGGCTCAAAAATTGCCTGCACTTTTCGTCTCCATTTCGTTATTGTTATCATTGTCGTTGGGTTCTTCGCTCTCTGGTTTATAAAATAAGATTCGTTCGTACACATTATGCACGCGTGCGACTCATTACGTGCGCCCACGCGTAGTATACGCGATCGCGCGCAAAATTATATTTAATTTTAATTTTTTTTTTTCTTCTTGTTTTTTCTCGACGAGACGCGGGCAGACCGCGATATACAGTACATATACCATCAGTGATACGTACGGGGCGGTCACGAGCAAACAATTGTACAAATAATATTGCCTCACGCGCTCACCTCCAGCGCAGGCCAGGCCAGGCCACTATATATAAATGCACGCACGAGCCTTGTATATCACGATAAGAGAGAACCGACCTGTAACTTAAAAAAACAGAAAAAAAATAACAAGACGATGACGAAAAAGACGGCCGATTTTAATACCTTTATTTGCCTTGCTCCGCGCGCGACTGTTTAAGCCTACCCAGGCGCGAGGTTGATGATAATGCGGCGAGAAGTGAGAAAAAACTGGACTCGACGCGAGCGTGTATACGCGATGATAATGCGATATGATAATGATTTCGTGTGTACAGCGAGTCGGTTCGTTGGAAGACGCTTCGCTTAATTTTCTAGGTCACTCTTGTAGCCGAATAATTTTGATATAATATATTGTTATAGGTCGTCGTGGGACTATCCATACTGAACATATCAAAACCAAAAGGAATTAGTTCTTTTGTACGAGGCCGACCATCGTAGATGTCGCACGAGTACGAGTCACTACTATACACTGATTCCCCTTCGCGTATACAGCTCGATGCTGGTGCTGCATTTTTGCCCCGCACGTGCTCGCATATTACGTGGACGAAAACTATATTACCTATTTTACGTGTCTGCATGTGGTAGTTGCCTAGTCGCAGGAGCTCTACTAGTTTTAGCTCGATCCTGACTTACATCGTAAAAGATCATAGAGCTAATTCGTAATCTTTCGCGTCTGACCAAAAAAGTAGCACCTCTCGTGATCGTGACTCGTAGCTTTTATGCAGGCTGGAATTTTTTTTTTTGTGTTTCATCGTTCCACGAGGATGAATTAATTGACTTTTTTGGGTAAACAGTATTTACCCAATAGACACGTAATATTGTCCGATATGTAGCATCGTTCGATTATATTCTAGCTAATTGATGCGCGCGAGTCGACGACGATCTGTTTGCTCGTTTTATCTGGCACACCGTTTATGTAAATTTGTTTCTCGCGCCATTTACAATAGCCGCGCGTGAACGATACGCGTTTGGACAACGAATCGCTGAATTATGGTATAAATACGTATCGTGAGTTTGCGTATCGATAAGTCAAAGTCGTCGAAATTCGACGATCGCTCGTCGTTGCCTTTTTTTGAAAACGTTCGTATGATAAAAAGTTTAATAAAAAAATCATCATCGACCAGCAATAAAGTAAAATAGAATAGAAATTCGCATTGAACAATTTGTTTAATAATCGTAAATTTGATATTCGTAATCATTCGCAAATAAACGAGTCACCTCCGATAATAATATTTCGTAAATCGAACCGGTGCATAGTTTAGTCCAAAGGGCATCCCTAGTAACTTTTTTTTCATTATTAAGCTCGCTCTCCACTATTCCTCGGCTCCCTATACAGCTCTCGTACGCAAGGCAGTCGTATTGGATTATATAGCACGGGGTAGCGGCCTCTGTGGGGTGGCGCTCGAATCACACCCAGGCATTACGAGCTCGTGTATATACGTATATATATATACGTGTACTACAGACCGTGTGTACAGCGTTATACGTGCGCGGGTCATGCGCGCAGGCACCTTCCCTATCGATCGACTCTCCGCTGTCTCTCTGCCGGGCTTATGCTATACGATGTGATTCGAAGCCACAGGGACAGACGAACAGACCCGCGTATAGGGCCCGTGCGGCTGGGGCCTCGCCTCCTGGGCATAGGCAAACCGACGTACTCCGAGTCATGGCCGATTACCACTGGCGTAGGGACTCCTATATAATGCCAATTCCGCTGCCGCGCTGCTCACATCACGGGCAAAAGAGAGGATTAGACCGAGTATATAGCGTCCTATCGTAAAGCGTATATGGAGAGCTATACTGTACGCGTCTTCGTAGTCATATGTGAAAAGAAAAAGGAACTTCTATCTTTCTAGGTAAAGGATAAGAACGCGAGGACGCGAGGAGCTTCTCTCTTCTCTTTGATACGATTTTCCAAAGGCAGATTTTCCCTTCTTTCCTCTTCTTCTTTTTTTTGTCGTCTCCTCCTTTTATGCCTTATCTATAGCCGTCGCTAAAGTAGTATGTGCCTTACTCATATATAGGCAGTAGCTTGCACATGTGTGAGTGCTCGCGCATGCATGTACGCGCGGTGCGTGATTATATTATTGGAGATGTTTCTTTGGCAGAGAAAGAGTGAGAGAGCGAGAGAGGCAGTAAAAGGAGTTACTCGGCGAGTCCCGGAAGAAGGAGATCTTTATTGCGAAATTCTACTGCTGCCTGCCTGCCTCTGCGTGCTCGAAAAGCTCGTCGCAGCTTTCGCTCAACTCTCGACGCGACGCGCGTAACGAAATGCGCGCGTGAGGAGTAGTATTGGCTTTCCTCTTCTTTTTTTTCTTTCTTTCGTTTTTTCGTCGTTCCTCGTCTCGTTGTTGTCGTCGTAGTCGTCGTCGTTATAGTCCTCGTCGAAAATCGAAAAAGGAAAATACGTGTAAGCAATTACACGGTGATTTTGCTTAATTAGAAAATTCAAACTCAACAGCAGCAGCAGCAGTACAGATTCAAAAGATCCCGCACT